AGAGGTTAAATGATACTGTGGCATATAATGGATGCTCAATAAACCTTTAGTGACCTGGACTAAACTGTAGTTACGTGGTAACTATAAGTTTAAATATGGGGAGTACCAGTTTTGTGGAATTTGTCTAGATTCACATCAGTCAGTACAAAATCAGGCTTTTGAAAAAGGCAGTCTTAGACGTATTTATTTAAATAAGCAGCTATGTGATCATCTTATCTTCAGAGTTGAATTTGATTTAGTCAATGAAAAACCAAACACTTCTAAGTTAACAAAATAAAATTTTTAACAGTAATGTTTTTGACCAGTTAAACCATTTGGATGCTACTATAGACTTGGCATAATCTATTCTTTCCCAAAAATGAATGGCAAATTGCCTATGTCATCATCACCAGCATCTTGTTTACAGTCTTTCTCCCTGTGTGCCCTCCCCACCATTTTGTAGTTTCTCTCTTAAGGAGACTCTTCTTAAGCAGAGGATTAGCGCCCTCTAGGGGTGCATTGCAAATGCAGTGTAGTGCACACATTTTAAAAAGCCCTGCAAAATTCTGGGAGAATTGTATGAAATACAGAAAATGATGCTTCATCCTTATTATGTAATTCAGGTTATGTAATTTAACCCCAGAGTATCTCAGAGTGCTTTTACTTTGCTCATCTCTTCCCCCCAGCACTATTTATTCAGACAGAGTTTTGTTCCACAGGGAGAAAATTTCCAAAATGAGAAGAAAGAGTGTTTTATTAAAAATTGAAGCGGAAGGTTAAGACTACTGGCAGTTACCATAGTCATCTGTGAAGGAAAGTTAGTTACCAGGCTAAATGTCTATGACTCAGGCTTAGGGCAAAATAAAAAGCTTTTCTGTGTCAGTTTAACTCTCTAATTTCTTTTTTTTCTTCATAAATTGGTTGCTTGATCAGATATTTCTGTAGAATCCCAGTCATTTCCACTCATTTCATCCACTACCACTTGTTCCCCATAATGTTAATTTGCTGATTTTTTAATTGTTAATTCACTTTTCTTTCATCCCACTCTTTTGTGGTGAAGAAAATGAGCCAATATTTATAAAAGCCTTTGAACACAGACAGGGTCAGGTACCTAGTAATATAGTTCATTGTGTATGTATTTGTATTTTTCATTGTTTGTTTGTTTGTTTTGTAGCTCCCCCCCCCCTTTTTTTTTTAATTTCTAAGTAATCTCTACATTCAGCTTGGGGCTTGAACTGACAACCCTGAGATCAAGAGCCGGATGTTCTTCCGACTGAGCCAGCCAGGCACCACTGTATTTATTGTTAATAATAGTAACATTTATTTCACATAGGATGATAAAGATGATGATAATGCTATCTTGCAGTTACGTAGCATTTTTTTAATACATAGAATTTCTTTGAACTCTCAGAATAATCACTAGAGACAGGGAAAATAGGCAGTATTACATGATAAAGCCTCAGGATTTTTTTCAGGCATTATAGAAGTTAAGTGATTCTACTTCTGTATTTTCTCCTAAAATTCTTTTTTTAAAAAAGATTTATTTATCTATTTTAGAGGATGGGGGAGGGGCAGAGAGGATCCCAAGCTGACTGCACTGAGCAGAGCCCAGTGTGGGGCTTGATTCCACGACCCCAAGATCACAACCCAAGTGAAACCAAGAGTTAGATGCCCAACCAATTGCACCACCCAGGTGCTCCTCCCCTAAAATTCTTTTTTTTTTTTTTTTAAGATTTTGTTTATTTATTTGACAGATAGAGACCACAAGTAGGCAGAGAGTCAGGCAGAGAGAGGAAGGGAAGCCTGCTCCCCGCCGAGCAGAGAGCCCCATTAGGGGCTCAATCCCAGGACCCTGGGATCATGACCTGAGCCGAAGGCAGAGGCTTTAACCCACTGAGCCACCCAGGCGCCCCTTCTCCCCTAAAATTCTTAAGAAATTAAGCCCTAAGACTTAGAAAACAGCCATTTTACATTTTTTTCAGTTGACACATTGCTTCTTAAAAATGGTAATTTTGTTTTCAGATAATAGAATTTTTTTCTCTAGTTTGAACTAGAGGCCTTGTGTTTAAAGTTTTATTTTGCAGATGAGACGACTGAGGTCTAGAGAGTTTAGGGTGTGGGTGCTAGTTCATGAGACCTGTGGCAGAAGCTAGACTAAAATGCAGGGCTCTTAATTATTTTTCCCTTATTACATGTTTTCCTTTTCCCTAACTTGGTTTTGCATGGCATAATATTATGTTTTTTTAAAGACTTTATTTTTTTATTTGAGAGAGAGAGAGAGAGACAGAGTGAGAGAGAGCCTGAGAAGGGAGATCGGATGGAGAAATAGACTCCCCATGGAGCTGGGAGCCAGATGTGGGATTCGATCCCAGGACTCCAGGATCATGACGTGAGCCGAAGGCAGTCGCTTAACCAACTGAGCCACCTAGGCCCCTTTCATGGCATAATATTATCATTATCTTTCTCTACACATGCCTAATTCAATTTTTCTTAACTGTTGCATAAATACGATGATGAAAAATGACACCTGGTTTTGGAAGGCTGCCTTGATGTTAGAATGGAGTTCTAGTTCTGTCTGGCAGAAGCAAGTTGTGAGATTGCCTCCCTATGAAATAAGTGTTCAGAATCACACTTCATCTTTAACTGTCTGGGAGTGAGACTGACATAGGAAGTGGATATGGATTGAAATGTGGCTTTGGCAGGACGTGGGCGGGTATGGTGGACTGGAGAGCCCAGAATTCTCAGCGCTGTGTGTTAGTTACTGTTGCTGGAGGCCTCATCCTGATTGTGTGCGGAGGATGTCAGACCTATACAGTAAAGTAATTTATTTTGTGAAATTAAGCCAGGATCAGGAACTATATAATATTGCTTATGTGAATGTGATCCCTTTTAGGTTCAGGCTCTTTTAGAGCTAGGCAGCTTTCTGGTTATAGTAGAGATACATAGAGAAGTACATAGATTTAGATGTAGTGATGTACATAAATTTATAAGTATAGCTCCTCTGCCTTGCTTTTAAGTAGGCCCTTAGCCTTATAAATTAAACTCATGCTTTGGAATGGGACTAAGGGAATTCTTACAGAGTTCTAATATGTGAGTAGAAAAGTGTGCGTTAGTATTCATTTCACTAAGGTGCTTATCTGCATACATATGTGTCCTATGTATGTAGTAGATGTGTTCTTATGAAGATCCTTGAAAATTAATTCATCTCTGAAATATAATTAAGGACTTGAGGGGTTTGTCATTTAATGGTATCCCAGGGTGAATACTCTAATGGAAGGGATAATCACTTCATAAATTTTTTTGATATTTATAGGTTTTCTAAATTAGGACTGCCTAAAATGTGTTATGACATACTCTTCTTTTTTTTTTTGTTGTTGTTTTTTAAGGGAAATAAAGTATTTTTTTAAATCTTATTTTACTGTTGTATCATCTTGTGATGTCAAAGATTCAACTGATATTCTTGGGAATTAAGAAATCAAAATAAAATGTCAGTCTGTGAAGATGGGAACATTTGTTTTAATAATTTGACTCACTTTTCAGTGTTACTGGCCACTTTTATAGGTACTGTTGATATTAGCAGTTATTTAGAGCTGTTGAGCCTAAGTTTAATACTTACGTTATTTTTACTTAATGATGTGTATACATAGGTAGTTAACTAAATATTGAAAAGTTCTGTGATTTGGGCAAAAACACATAGGAACTAGTAAATATGATACGAAACTCTTAAGGGAATTTTCTCTTCATTAATCAAAAATATTTTCTGGTACTAGTAAAACTGCAAAACATGTATATAGGCAACTAAGATAATACAAATTTAAAGTTTTTTTAAGATGAAAACTCAACCATCAAAAGTGTCCTTCCACTTTCCATTAGGCTTTTCTTGCTTGTTATGTATTCATATTTTAGATCTTTGTATTATTTTGTGCTGTATACTCACTTGACATTTTGGAAGTGCAAAGAAGTTTGACTCATATGTACAAAACCTTTAAGGGTTTACTACACCAACTGGCAAGCACGTAGGGCGTGTGCCCTGTGTTTGATGTAGGTAGATTTCTGCTCTCTGCCTCTAGACCACTTCCTTGTCTCCTTTCACGAGAGCAGCACAAAGTAATGCAGCCTAGAATCACTAAAAGGTGAGAAAATGGTACCATACCAACCCACTGTGGAACAGCCATCTAAATAGTCTGCTCTGATATTCATCTCTCTAGCACAAACCTTACAGTAGGCCAAGTACTTATAGGAGATATCCCTACTTGTCAGACTTGAAAGCTTTTGGGAAATCTTTGTTGGTTTGTGCTCTTAAAATCACAGGCTTCAATCAGGCCTGTGGAGTGGAGGAAGAAGCTATTATAGGTTAAGTGTTAACTTTGTGTTGGTGTTAACATGGTTATAAAAACCCTCGGTCACAAGAAGATTAATGTGCAGAGGAAAATTTGGGCAGAGGTCTTCCAACTTGACACGTGAATTTTTAAAAACTTTTTACTTTGAAATAAGTGTAGATTCACAGGGAAGTTTCAAAAACAGTAAGTATGTAGAATCTCATGGACCCTTCACCTAGCTTGTATTTCTAGATTTTCAAAGTATAGAGTGTGTGTCTCTGACATCCTGGATCTTATGGCACAGAGAACAGAAGACCAACTCAGGTTGGGGGGAAGGGGTGCTCTTCCTGCGAGGATTGCCCTGGCTGTTATATCAGGAATTATGAAGGTCATTGCCATTGCCTTGTATCTAAAAAATTGTAACCCCATGTGGTTGGCCAAGCCTGTATTAATTGTAGTATGTTAAAAATATAACAATTCTGTTTGTCTTTAGGAATTATTAATTGGAAGTTTACTCTTTTTTAGTTTTTGGTTTTTAAATTTAAATTTAGTTTTTAAGTAATGAGAGAATTAAAATGAAAATATCACTGTGAAAATGAACACCATATGAGGAATGTTTTCTACTTGTCCCTGTTCTTATTTGAGTGTTAAAGATGATCCCAAGTTCAGGACCGAAAGTTTAAACTGCTTTTCTCTCTGTAGGTTCGAAAACATGTGAATGATCTCTATGAAGACTTAAGGGATGGACACAATTTAATCTCTCTTTTAGAGGTTCTTTCAGGAGATACCTTGGTAAGTTTAAAATTTCTTAATTTAGTTTGAAGAACATGTAATCCTGTCCACATGGGACCAGTGTGTTGTCAGTAGACACTGTTCAGATTTGTGACACATTCACCTTTTTTGCACGGTGAATTCTGCCTGAAAACGAGTTCTGGTTAGCTTCCTAATCATTTTCAGACTTCAAATGATGTGAATTTGGGAGATTGAAGCACTTTGATTACTTTGCTTATATAATCAGTTCTATAATTAAACTACTATTCTTGTTTTTGCTTCTTTTTTATCTTTGGGGTTGTTTTTTTGTTTTTGTTTTTGCTTAGCAGAGGTTGGATGCATAATATAACCACATATTAAAAGACTGACATATAACAAAGAAATAAACATTGCTTTCCAAAAAATGGTATAATCCATTCCACAGGTGTCATTTTCTTTTTTGTGAACATTACTTCCCCTTCTTGGTTACCTGTTCTCCTTCATTATGTTCTGTTCATGCTCTTCTTTTCATTTCTGGTCTGTCTTGTGTCTTTGCTGTTCTATCTTCTGTCTGTTATATTCATTAGCCAAGGGAGCGAGATTTTTTGAAGACCTTACGATTGGTGAGTGCAACAGAAGCATGCGAATATGAACAGCATGAGGATGTGGAGGATGAGGATAAGGGGGTAGGTGTCGGCCCCCATAACTCGACTAACCTAGCCATTACAGTGCGGTGAGCGCTAATGTGGTAGAGAAGTAACCCACGGGTTTGGGCTCCTTTTTAGAAAATTACAGAAAGGACCAAAATCCATAGTGAGGTGGATGTGCGTGTACCAGAAAACTGGAGAAAGAAATATTTTCTCTTTAAATTTATTTACATTACTGTGCAGTGCATAGTAATTGAACATAGGTGCTTAAATTATATGATGGCATTTTAGCTAAAAAATTTTATACACCTTTTATGTAAATATGGAAATCTTGACAACTAGCCTGCTAATTTTTATGCAAATTTGTTTCACTTCTGCAATTTATATTTCAAATGTGGCCACTGTTGCCTTATTTGAACAGACTTATGAAAATTTTTTTACTATTTAAGTTTATGCTTTAACTCATACTGGCAATAGGTATTTGATGAACATTATGTATTTTCTGTATGTCTTATTTAGAAGGGGGGAAGGTGTTAAAATTTGGAGTCCTGGTAGAACCCACAGAGCTGTTTCATCTTCATGACACTTAGTTGACTTCAGCCCACCTTTGCAAGACAGATATGCTTCTTTTGTCATCCACATCCCAAGTGCCCCTGATTCCATTGGAAATTGTGCCTTTTTTGGATCCAATGGATGAATTCACCAACAATATTTCTACCTGTTACATAGAACCTTTTTTCCATTCTGTAGTCTGCTGTCTGTTTCATTATGGTGACTTTGGCTGTAATAACCTATTCATATTTGAGAAGATAAGCTGTCAGTTTTTTTTCTTCCTTTTGGAAGATTTTATGTGGTAAATTTCAACTCCATTCTTTGTATTTTTGTTAAGCATCTTCTCAGCTCTATCTCCTTATGTTTTTCTTCTGAAAACTTGTAGCATTTCTCAAGGAAAACAGCATCAAAAGAAAGAATTATTTATTGTTGGTTTTCCTGAGACAGTAAATAATCATGTCCATCCCTAAGCATTGCGAAACTAATTATTAGAGTCCAAATGATTTTGTAAAAAATCTAAAATAAAGAGGAAATATAGTATATGGTTTTAATTGCTTTTCTTTCTTCCTCTATCATGCTAAGTAAAACTCTGTCTTTCTCCCTCTTGGTGATTTTATACTAATTGCATGCTACTTTACCTTATTTTCATTAACATTCCATACATATGTAATTATAAAAATCCGCTTAACAATAGAGTTTATTAAGAAGGCAAAATGGGGAACGGTGTTTAGTTCTTTCTGTGCATCCAAAGCTAATAAAACTGTAGGCTAGAATTGTAGTATAGTAACTATAAAAAGTCTATATGTTCTGTGGTATTTTCTCTTTTCCTTTTGTTTAAATAAAACATATAGAATAAATCATGTGTTTAAATAAAACATATTCAGAGAAATACCTAGTTGTTAAATTCAGTTTCAGACAATACAAAATCATAAAAGTATCTTTAAAGATATCTGATGGTTTTACCTGAATAGTAAATACTGTTTTGACATGTTAAGATGCATATAAAGTATATTTATGGGGTATATTTATCCTAAGTGTCTTTAGCATGGTCAGTGGTATCAGAAACTATAATGTTTTTTATACCCTGCATTTTTCTACTCTTAGCCCAGAGAAAAGGGTCGGATGCGTTTTCACAGACTACAGAATGTACAAATTGCACTTGACTATTTGAAAAGACGCCAGGTATGATGTTTCTCAAAGACTATAATCTTATAAACATATATGACAGAGTAAATCTACATAGAAACATGTCAGGGAATGAAAAGGTTAAATTTGTGAATTATAATGGTTGAGTTTGTGGTTTTGTGAGACAAATATTTAAAAATATGTTCAAACATTTGCTCCAAAGAAAAGGAAGTTAATAGTAGGTGTAAGCCCAGAGGAATTATAAGTGGCTGCATTTCCATCTGAATAAGAGCTACTGATTTTCCTTCTGCTAGAATTGGAATGCTTTGCCTAGGAAGTTAATGATATTTTAGTAGCAACAGAATGTTAAGAATGCCTATGAACAGTTCTTAGTAGTGGGGCAATTCTTTATTATTTATACTTAGTCTATAAAATTATTTTTATAAAAAATAGTTTATATAATACTTGAAAAAACAGTGTAAACATTTTTAATACTTAGTAGTGGTAAGGCAATTTTTAAAATATTTTTTGTAATAGTAGATAATATTGGTAATCAAAAGTAGTTAAACATAAAGCAATATTTCTGACAACAGTTTCCAAGTAGCTTGAGGTTTTAGAAGAAATCATGTTAAGGAATGAACATTATATTGGATGATTTGGTGGCATTGTGGTATTATAGAGGTATAAGTCAAAGTATTGGTAATTTTTCAATTAGTAGAAAAAAGGAGAAAAAGGCAAATCAGGAGAAAGGAAAATTACTGAAAACAATGAGAAATCAGAGGTGGCAACTTTTTGCTTGTTAATGAAGTAAGGGAAAAAGGAAGGGAGGGAAATAGGGACAGGTAAACATTGTTTTTTATTATTGATTTATTTAGTTTATTATGAACATTAAAATGCTTTTATTTTTTAAACTTTGATTAACAGTACTTAAATAAGGTTAAATGTTACTTTTATTTACCTTCTTTTTTTTATTTTTTTATTTCTTTTTTAAAGATTTTATTTATTTATTTGACAGAGATCACAAGTAGGCAGAGAGGCAGGCAGAGAGAGAGGAAGGGAAGCAGGCTCCCTGCTGAGCAGAGAGCCCGATGTGGGACTCAATCCCAGGACCCTGAGATCATGACCTGAGCCGAAGGCAGCGGCTTAACCCACTGAGCCACCCAGGCGCCCTTATTTACCTTCTTATTCTTAGTTCTAGTGGAAGTTTCCAGGAGTTCTGATGGTTAATTGTTTCCTTGTCTGAAATGTTTTTGGCACTGTTTTGTCCAGGAAGTAAGATGTTAGTTATTATCGTATTTAATTCATGATATTTAATTATTTTTATCCAGGATATAAATGATAGGTATCATTACTGTCTTTGGTTACCTAAAATACATAATTTGATAGTTAATAAGCTTTAAGTCCCTGTGTTATTATTATTTTTATATTTGAGCAGTCTCCCAAATATCCAGTGACGTGTTTATTTATCTTGATAACACTTTATGGTAGATAAATAGAAAAATGATGCTAGTTTTTTTTCCCCCATTTTGTAACAGAAGTATGAGAAAATTACTGAACTATTTTATGGTTCAGAACAATTTCTTAATGGTAAGAGTAAAATAAAGCTTATTTTCAAGTGACAAAATTATATCTAATTTTAAATTCTCAAGTATTTAAGAATTCTCAACCTGAGTTGCATTTTCCTTTTGAGAAGTGAATGCTTTTAATACTTGTTCTAAAAGAAAAGCCAAAGTAACACTTGTTTTTTCCGTTTTGGTTACTCTATAATTTGCAGTATAAAATGAATGGAGATAGGGAGTAACACTAATTTAAGGATTACTGGTGTTTAGATCACTTCGATTTTTTTTCTTTGTGTAATTTAGAATCATTTTTATGTAGGTAAAGATAATTTGTGTGCTGGTTTGAAAAAGTTGGCTTTATCTCTTCTTTTCATATAACACAGGTGAAATTAGTGAATATTAGAAATGATGACATAACAGATGGAAATCCCAAATTGACTTTGGGATTAATATGGACAATAATTTTGCACTTTCAGGTAAGCTTAATTTTTCTTCATTGTAATTTCTTTTAGTCTCTCATTGCTGATTTTCAAGTGGTTGATACAAAGAATGAATTATGCCATTTATATCGTATGGAAGAAAGTAAAATTCAGGCTTCTTTTCTTAAACAGTATATTTGAATGTTTCCTTTCAAGTAACTTACTACCTGTGAACCTGGTACCCTTTTCCCCCCTGTTATCCATGAGCATATAAGATGATGTTTGTAATCTTGTCGAAAACTGACCTTTGTGCTCAGGAGCTGAAATATGTAATGCGAAGACAAAAGTTTGATTATAGAGATAAACAATAGCTTTATCACTTTGCTGGTCAAAGGACGCAGCAGCAGGCTACCTGGAGGAAGGGGGGTCCGGCGTTTTATAGGGAAAAGCAGAATCTCGCTGGTTTCCATGGGAGTTGTTGGTACATGTAGCCTGCCACACACATCACGTTTTCAGGAGGGTTCCTGGTTCCTGAAACAAAGGCTAAGAGGGGAGGTGGGGAGGTTTGTGGAAGAGAGTAAAAAGGTTACTTAGTTTAAAATCAGGCCTTGTTGGGGCGCTTAGGTGGCTCAGTCGTTAAAATCAGGCCTCGTTGAGGCATTAATGCAGCCGTTTTGGTTTTTGTTCAGCTTCCAGCTTAAGCAGTTTCAGTCTCAGTGTTGGAAGACAAAGATTTCTTTTTACTGAATGCAGACACATTTCTTTTGTTTATTGGACAGTGTTACTTGACTTAGATACATGAACATTCTATGACTCATTCCTTAATTAGAATGGTTTTTGTTGGCATTCTAGTTTCTCAGTGAGAACTACTTTTTCCTGTTGATAGACGCTAGATGGCAGTATAATTTTCATAAAGGGATCTCCTGAATTAGAAGTAGCCGTATTTTGTGTAGAGCTTTCTCAAACAAGATTTGAGGAGATTAATGCAGATTTTTTTTTAAGGATTTTATTTATTTGAGAGAGAGAGAGAGAGGGCATGTGCGCAAAAGCAGGGAGGGGCAGAGGGTGAGGGGGAAAGAATCTGAAGCGGACTCCATATTGAGTGTGGAGCCCGGAAGGGCTTTAGTCCCACTGCTGGTAGATCAGGTACCCAGAGTTTGAGGCTTAACCCTATGAGCCACCCAGGTGCCTTGAGTAAATTCAGGTTAATTTACTATGATCTCTCTAATACATCTGTGCTCATTGAGAGCTGATTTGGATTTTTACTTTTTTTTATAAAATGATGCATTTTGAAACAAATCATCTTTATTTGATTTAAGGTGAATTCTAACTCGAGAATGTGCTTTAGTTCATTACCCATTTTCCTGCTTAAGCAGTGTTCTGTGTGCAACCCAGAGCCTGACCCATAGTAGGCATGTGGGAAACCCTACTGATTTACTGCTGTTCATTTAGATCTTGAAGGAGGAAGAGATAACTTACCAGCTTCAGAAAGGAGCTGAGGTTTTAAACCAAATCATGAGGGGAGTAAGACTTATTTCTTAATTTGTAAAAATGTTCTGGGATTTAAGCTTTATAAGGGAATGATGGAAAATAGTGTACCTGGAGCTCATTTGGGAACAGGATAAATCTGACAGGTATGGAGAGCTGTAGGAATTAGAGTCTAGGTAGTTTCCAGGACCTGAACAGGCAGCTGATCAAAATTGCAGTAGGAAATTGGAGGAGATGCTGGCAACCAGGTGTACCAGCCAGACTTTGGAGTAGCTAATACAAGTAAATGTTCCCTCAGCTGGGTTTTTGCTACAGAGAGATCCAATAACAGGGGCTAGAGGCAGGAACCTAAAGATCTGAGGGGCCCCATTAGTAGAGCACCTCTTCCTCAGGGAACTAGGAGACTGAGCACTAAACCAAGGCAGGGATTTGGGCATGAAGCCAGACCCTTTTTCTAGAATTGGGTAAAGACTAAGTAGAACTGACTGAAAGCAGATTTCGTGTGGAGATCCTCAGCAGCATTCTCAGGGATCCTTTAATCAGTCCTCAGTGGATTAGGTCCCAGAACCTTGAGCAGGGTTGAAATTGCAGGAACTCCACATGGGAAGATTAAAGGCCTATTGGAGCAAGGAGCTAGTCCCATCATTTCTAACATAGCTGTGAGACAGGCTATGTCTGGACTTTGAGGACTGTAGGGCTGAGGAAAGCACCTAGGCTGTGGCAGGAGGCAGAGCTAAGTGTTACCATTGACTCTTACTTATGGCAGTTGATGACATTGGGTACATCACTTAACCAATCTGAACTTGAAAAATAATGTTTTAGGAAACTGCATCTATCAATTTTACGTAAAATAGATTAAATGAGCCAGGTCTGAAGTTAGGGAGATAGAAGCCAGGAAGCTGAGGTAGTAATTTCCGAGTGGGGTGATAAAGGCCAGGACTCAGATGGGGATGAAAAACTGAATCCAAGGGATGACATTTTGAAGAAGAAAGGAATGGACTTGGCAACAGGGCACAGAGGATGAAGGAATGGGATTAAAGATGACTCTGAACTGTTCAACCTGGGATATAAAACAAATAACAAACTAGGAGACGACTGAGACAGGGTGATGGTCAGGGGAAAAAGAATAAAGAAGGACCACCCGAGTGGGTCTGATGGCCTGCCAGGTGTTCTGTGCATCTGTGTGCTGAACTCTTGGAGATACATGAGCATAGCTGGGGTGTCAGCTACAGGTAATGCACTTAGAGTTATCAGTATAAAAGTGGTCACTGAGCACTTCGGAGAGAATGGATCTTCAGAGAAGTCAAGAAAAGAGCCTGCGTGGAGAAGAGCTGAGAGCTAAGGACAGACGTCTGGGGAAGGCCCATGATTTGGGGTGCAGGAGGAAGAAGATCCACGTGGGGAAACAGGACAGAACAAAATATTTGGAGAGATGGATGGTATGACAAGAAAATGCAGTGTTGCTGAATCTAGGGGGAAGAGAATGTCAAGTAGAAAGGAATGGTGAGCACTACAAAATGGCACTGAAGAGCGTGAGAAAATGAAGACCAACAACTAGTTTTACCTAGAAGGAGGACATTGGAGACCTTGGAAGAAATACTACCAGGCGAGTCGGAGCAGAAACCAGGAAATGACAGACCAAAATGTGAGTAAATGGTTGGGAATTCGATCCTAAGTTTGAAGAAATTTAAAGCCAAAGGTCCTTCAAAAAGAATTATGTATTAAGAAACTCATTGCATTTTGTCACTGGAGGAAAAAAGAAGACCAGCCACAGAACTACTTCTAATAGAATCCTAATGATCCTATGGCATATAGTATGGAATCCAGTGTATTTTAGGACCCAGATGACGAGATATTGTGACTGTTTATTTATCACCAGTATTTAGAAATTAGATCCAGGTCTGTTTAAAGTGGAACACAACAGTTTTGGTAAAATAAAAATATTCCTTCTTATTTAAATGAAATAACCAGGTGTCACCAGCCAGACTGCAGGGTAGCTAAAAGAGGTAAATGTTCCCTCAGCTGGGCTTTTGCTATCAGGGAGATCCAGTAACAGGGGCTGGAGTATGATTATTTCTTAGTAGTATGATAATTTCAGATTAGAATGTATTTACTGGTTATGCCAAAATAGAAGGCTACTTATAGCAGTGGTAATCATTCTCACTCAGTGACTGGGCTTTTTTTTGTTGTTTTTTTTTTTGTCTTTATATAAATAAGGAAAGTAATTTCATAAGATCAATTTATTATTTAAAAATATTTGTTTTGAGCATCACAAATTGAATCTCTTTTCCAGTCAGGCTTTCTGAAGGTAAGCATTATCAACACAATAGTTCTCTATCAGTAACTACCATATGCTAGATCCAGAGATGCTAGGGAAATGGAGGATGTTGTTGCGTCTATTAGGAGAATGTTCATAAATATAATCTACTTGTGATGAATCCATTGCAGTATAAATAAGGGATATAGAGGAGGAGTGTTGTGGTATTAGGAAGGTATTAGAGAAATTTTCACTGATACTAGAGATAGACTTTGCAGGATGAATGCCAGCTACCAGGCGGAGACTTAAAGTTGGGCCATTTCTGGGAGAGGGAGCAGTGTGTAATGGCCTGGGAATGGGTAGTTGGTGAGTTTGGCAGAGCTTCAGGGAGGGGTGGATGGGGTGCACATCAGCGGTTGGGCCTTTATCTCACCAGTACAAATACCAGCCATTATGCTTTTATGTTCTCGTCAGTAATGTTCCATCGCCAATGAAGACGTTGAAAATAAAATTAAAAATAAACCCAAATCCAAGACTTTATTTTTGCCGCTTGTCTACTAGGATATTCAGTTTTGCCAGTAGAGATGGTTTAATTTTCTCTTTCAATGATTAATCATCATGCAGGCCTATCATTAACAAGTATTGGCAACATCGCTAACTTGACTGTTTAATTGAATATTCTTATTTAGAAAAGTATAATGAGTTCCATCTTGCGATCAGTCTAAAGACTACCTAGAGAATGATGATTATCATGTTTTTCTACTTAGTCAAATGATACCTGCTTACGTGTAAGTCCAGTCATGCTATACTGATTTTCTTTTTACCGTATCTATGACTCAGTTTTAGAAATATGCACACCTTAAATAATCAGGCTCCATATTGATTTACTATTTTTATAGCAAGGCCCTAGTAAAATTACATAATATTTAACTAGGGTACAATTGTAAGTGTTACCTACAAAGTTCAGCTACCTTCATTCATGTATAAGAAACACATCTATGTGTTTCTTCTGGCGAAGCATTTCATACTTCAAATCATAAAATTAATCAGTTTGCTTATGTAAAAATCCTAATAACCATATAAGGAAAATGGCCTGGAAAATATAATGGCACATAAAAAATGTAATACAAAATATGAAAAGTTCTATTGATATGTAATATGAAAAATACTATAAACTATTTTATGGGGTTTATTGTATTATTATTTTTTAAAGATTTTATTTATTTAAGAGAGAAAGTGAGAGACAGCATGAGAGGCAGGGGAGGGACAGAGAGAGAGGGAGAAGCAGACTCCCTCTTGATCAGGGAGCCTG